TTAGCAGAGAGTTTGGCAACAAAAAGAAACGCTTTGGAAAAAACCTGCGATGATAGTAACCAGCATTAACCCGACCGCTGAGCGGAGCGTCAGAGATACTCAAAAAGATCCAAGAACATGCGCCAAAACAAAAATATTAAGAGGAAACATCCTGAAACGGGAAGAGGCAGGACTGGTCCATCTGTCAGACTGCCTGGGGTCAGGTGTCTCATGTTTACGTCTAAACCTAGTCTTTATTTTTGTAAACAGTCCAACTTACATCAGACCAGTCTGAACTAATTTTAGACTAGTCCAGCACAACAGAAACTGGCCCCTGATCCCTGATCAGGAACCAACATTCAGACTCTGAGCTTCAGATGTTGTTTCTGCAGGTTTTCACAGTCTGGAACCAGAACCAGGACCTCAGTCAGGACTGGATCTGAGTCTGCAGCTGGATCTGGATTCAGGTCTGGAAGTGAGATCCAGTCCTGCAGACCGCAGGTCAGAGTGGCCCAGATTAGTAAGACCAGGATCCAGACTTCAGTCCAGACTGTAGATCTCAGAGGGTCTGAACTGGTTCAGGGTTTGGTCCTCACAGATCGGACTGATCCAGGATCCACTGAGAGCAATCTGGACTACAGAGACTGACCCGGATCAGACAGAAAAGGGCCACAGAGTCCACCTTCGAGGTCAGTTAGAAATACACTCTGACAGGGTCTCTGTTTGATTCTGGTCCTGAACTTCCTACTGATCGATCTGTCTGCTCTGATCCAGATCAGGTCCAGAGCAGGTCCTGTGAGCACTGCAGATCTGGTCTCAGATCAATCCTTAGAGACCAAGACCCGCCAAATCAGGTGTGAGAGATTCCTGGGTGCAGAGTCCAGCAGAGGAGAGGAGGGAGCCAGGATCGGGTCCAGGTCTGAGAGGAGGCCAACTGGGCCCAGGAGGAGGAGGAAGATCCACCCGTCTGTGTTCAGAGGGAGAGGTGCCGTCAATCAATCAATCAATCAGTAACTGAGCTTTCATCAGACCAGGTCATAATAATAAGTCTCTCTCTCTCTCTATAGGTCAGCTACGGCTATCAGTCATTCCGGAGGCGGGGCAGCTTGTCATTCAGAGTGAGTGTTTAAATATTTTCCCTTTTTAAAACCTGGTTCATCTCATGTGAACCAGTGAGTTCCAGCTGGTGGTCTGCAGTCTGCTGTGAGAGAGAGGGAGCTGCAGCTCCAGCTGGTGGTCTGCAGTCTGCTGTGGGAGAGAGGGAGCTGCAGCTCCAGCTGGTGGTCTACAGTCTGCTGTGAGAGAGAGGGAGCTGCAGCTCCAGCTGGTGGTCTGCAGTCTGCTGTGGGAGAGAGGGAGCTGCAGCTCCAGCTGGTCTACAGTTGCTGTGAGAGAGAGGGAGCTGCAGCTCCAGCTGGTGGTCTGCAGTCTGCTGTGGAGAGAGGGAGCTGCAGCTCCAGCTGGTGGTCTGCAGTCTGCTGTGGGAGAGAGGAGGCTGACCCTGGAACACCAACAGCCAGGGACCGTTAGAGAACCTGTGGCTCGGTCTCAGGTGGGAACACCTGGCAGGTACAGGCTCTCTGTCCCACAGGGCTGCTGGTGATCTGGGTCTGAATGAACCAGAGGACAATTGGAAGTCACAGAAAATGTCTTTGTTTCCTGTCTCTGTCTGCAGTCCACGAAGCCAGAGGGCTGATGGGAAAATCCCAAAGGTCATGTGACTCATATGTGGAGGTAAAGAAAGCTTCAGGTGTTCCAGCAGTTTATTGATCAGAGATTTAAACTGATCAGCAGATAAAATCTGGAATCTGTTTTTATTTCTGTGTGTAGCTGGCAGTGACCTCGGACCTCGACCGCGGCATCAGGATGACGACTCCGACCGTCCTGAACAACAAGAACCCAGAATACAAACACAGCTTTACACTGTGAGACACACACACTCTTTAGTTTGGCCGTCTGTACTCTGAACAAAATTATAAACGCAGCACTTTTGTTTTTGCCCCCATTCATCCTGAGCTGAACTCAAAGATCTAAGACCTTCTCTATGTACACAAAAAGGGCCTATTTCTCACAAATAGTGTTCACTAATCTGTCAAAATCTGTGTTAGTGAGCACTTCTCCTTTGCCCAGATAATCCATCCACCTCACAGTTGTGGCATATCAAGATGCTGATCTGACAGCATGGGTACTGCACAGGTGTGCCTTAGGCTGGCCACAACAAAAGGCCTTAGGCTGGCCACATCAAAAGGCCTTAGGCTGGCCACAATAAAAGGCCACTTTTATTGCCCAATGAAAAAACTCACTATGAATCAAAATTTGTCAACGTTATAAATACTTTGGGCATGTTTGTATTTGTGTGTGTGTGTCTGCATGCATGTACAGTATAATATATATGTATAATATGTGTGTATGCAGTACAAATATAAGTCTCTGAGCTCGAGTCTGAGTCAAGTCTCAAGTCACTCGTGATTATAATGAATGTTGCATCACCTGCTGCGTCCAATCCAGGCTGCTAATAAAACTGCAGAGCTGTAAGGGATTCTGTATCTGTGACCTGTTTTCTTACAGAGCACAACCATGTGATGTGCAATGCAACTAATGACAGCTTATAAACTACTGTACAACACCAACCGCAGACTCTCAAACCCAGTGTAACTTTAACTAAATAAAACTGTAACTTTACATGATCAACAATAAATCTGTAACCTGTTTGCAGCCACAGTTAATAATTACCGTGAAGGCAGCCAGCGGACGTAAAGGATTACGTTAATCGAGCACCACAAGTTTTCACAAACGCTCATTCATCTTTTCATAACGAACGACAGTCGGAGTTAAACTCTCGTAGGTCATAGCTAAAGCAAGCTAACGTTAGATGGTTAAAGCTGAGCTAAACATGTTCACTAACCTCAGGTTACTAACCTATTTTGCGTTCAACGCTTCTTTGTTTGGGTCTTGTTTATGTTTAAAGTTTATGATGAACGGCTCAGCAGCTGTTTGTTGTCCTCTCTCACGTGTAGCAGCTGATGCTACGTGTTACGTAGGCAGGTTACAGGTAACGCAGGGAGGGAATAACGGCACGCTCATCAGAACCTTCCTAAAAATAAACATTGTTCACGAGTCCCGCACCTCGAGTCTCAAGTCACTGTGTGTGCGACTTAAGTCGGACTCGAGTCCGAGTCTCTAACTCGAGTCCCCGTCTCTGGTGAAAACAAAGCATCATGTTGTTGCAGCTCTGCGCTGAAGATCTTTGACGTTTCAAACATTCAGTTCTACATATTAACTCTGTGTGTGTGTTTCAGGTGTATCCTTGACGACCTCATCCTGAACAGGCTGTTGGTTTCTGTGGTCAGCAGGTCAGTAATGACATCAGAGCTGAAGCCCCGCCCACTCTCTTCCTCACTCTTAGCAGCTGGTCCAGGATCAACCTGTTCTCAGTCCCGAGTCATCACACATGCACGCTTGGTCGAGACCCGTCAGTTTGTAACGCTCTGGGGGAAACCCTGTAGGGTCTTCTCACTAAAGGAAGAGTGAGGACGAGGACCAGAAGCTGGACCTTCAACCAGGAGACCGCCGCTAGTTTCCCGTCTCACATTTAATGTTTAAGTTATGTAACTTTAGTAATTAAGTATTTTAACCCAAACCAGGGGCAGCACGGTAGCCTAGTGGTTAGCACTGTTGCCTCACAGCAAGAAGGTCCCAACTTCGAACTCCGGTCATCCCGTCTGTGTTGAGTTTGCATGTGCCTGGGTTCTTTCCTCCCACCGACTGGTGACCCTAAATTGTCCTTAGTAGTTGTTTTGTTTCTATGTGTGGCCCTGCGATGGACTGATGACCTGCCCCCGCCTTCCGTCAGTTCATCAGTGCGTCCTCGTTAACCCGAGGAACCTGACACCTGACATCTCTAACACACCTGTCCACCTGCTCCCTCTGTCTCCCCAGGTGCGGCCAGCTGATTGGATGCATGAGCTTTGGGATTGGTTCTCTTGTCTCTTCCTCTAAGGTCAGTTTAAACCAATCAAAAGACAGAGAATCCTTCATGGTGACTGGCTGCAGGGAGCGGCCTTTTTTCATGTTTTACCTGTGTTTCACCTGACAGGTGAGTCCCAGCAAGCCCGTCCACACTTCAGGCTTCCAGCTTCCTGTCGGTGGTGACGGGCGCTGATTGATCCATTAGTTGATTAAAAGAAAAGAAACTCACTTTGGGCTTTTGGCTCGAGTTTTCTGATATTTTATCATTTACTTGAATTTATTTATTTATTTGAAGTGATGAAGTGATTAATCAGATGAGTTAGTTTCGGCCATAGTTCCAGGAGATGAATCCACCTGCAGAGCTTCATGTGGAGCGTCTCACTGCAGAGAAGTCTTTTCTTTTGAGCGTCGATCAGCATCTTTGTAATTATCTTCAAAACACCAACAAGAATCAGAGACAACATGAAGCCTTTCTCTGACGCGGCGTCGACATGTGACAGTCTGTAGGAAAAGAAAAGGGAGCCTCTCAGCGCAGGGAACCAGCTTCATGCACATGTTTAATCCCACTCTGAGCTTTAATGAGATGCTGGCCCCGCCCCCTCTGTGTCGGCAGCGTGTGACTGGTTGGTTCTACCTGCTGGGGGAGGAGTTTGGGAGGAGCAAACACCTGAGAGTGACATCACAGCAGAGCAAACCAATAAGGAAGCCAGAGGACGCACCAGCACGCCGTGGTGAGTTGAAACTGCTGATGCTGCTGCAGCGTGATTGGCTGAAATGAAGAATGTGACCCTGCTGATAGCTGATTGGTTAACTCAGAGTTAACAGCTGATAACGAGGGGCAGGGTCAGTTAGAACTACACAAACAAACTAGGGCAGTGGCGGTTTGCTATCATCTCTACAGGAACATGTTCAGGGTAAAACGAGCAGGTCACAGTTCTGCAGGGAGGCCGGAACCAGCAGGACCTCAGGTCTTCAGTCCTGACCGGCTGCAGGGAGTCCCAGGTCTTTAACCTCTGTAGGGTCGTCAGGGTGACGCAAACCACCTGCTGCGTCTTGGACGAGCCATCAAATTCAAAATGGCCTCCCTCACTGTTACACAGAGACAGACACACACACACAGAGACACAGAGAGAGACACAGAGAGACACACACACAGAGACACACACAGAGACAAAGAGAGACACAGAGCACACACACAGAGACAAAGAGAGACACAGAGACACACACACAGAGACACACACAGGCACAGAGAGACACACAGAGACAAAGATAGACACACACAGAGACAAAGAGACACAAGAGACACACACAGAGACAAAGAGACACAGAGAGACACACACACAGAGACACAGAGAGACACACCACAGAGAGACACAGAAAGACACAGAGACCACACACAGAGAGACACAGAGAGACACACACAGGCACACAGAGACACAGAGAAACACAGAGAGACACAGAGACACACAGAAACAAAAAGATACACTAACACAGACACACACACAGAGACAGAGAGACACGAGAGACACACACACAGAGACCCACTGAGACACACACTGAGACACACACAGAGAGACACACGGACACACACAGAGACACAGAGAGACACACACACACACAGAGAGACACACAGAGACACACAGACACACAGAGAGACACACAGAAACAAAAAAGATACACAAACACAGACACAAACACAGAGACAAAGAAAGACATAGAGAGAACACACACACAGAGACAAAGAGAGACACAGAGAGACACACAGAGACACACACAGGCACAGAGACACGCGGAGACACACAGAGAAACACACACAGAGACACACACACAGAGACACAGAGAGACACACACACACAGAGACACAGAGAGATACACACAGAAACACCACAGGCACAGAGAGAGACACGGAGACACACAGAGAGACACAGAGACACACACAGAGAGACACAAGACACACACACACACAGAGACACACACACACGACACACAGAGACACACACACACACACACAGACACACAGACACAGAGAGACACACACAGAGAGACACACACAGAAACACACACAGGCACAGAGACACAAGGAGACACACACACAGACACCACACAGGCACAGACCACACACACAGAGACACACACACGAGACAAAGAGAGACATAGAGAGAAACACACACAGACACACATAGGCACAGAGAGACACGCGGAGACACACAGAGAAACACACAGACACACAGAGAGAGACACACACAGAGAGACACACACAGACACACAGAGACACAGAGAGACACACACAGAGACACACACAGAGAGACACACACCAGAGACCCACACAGAGAGACACACAGAGACCCACACAGAGAGACACACAGAGACACACACAGAGACACACGGAGACACACAGAGACACAGAGAGACACACAGAGACACGGAGACACAGAGACACACGGAGACACACATACCACACACACACACACACACACACACACACAGAGACACACACACAGAGACACAGAGACACACACACAGAGACACAGAGAAACAAAGAGATACACAAACACAGACACACACACAGAGAGAAAGAGAGACACACACAGAGAAACACAGAGAGACACACACAGAGACACACACAGAGAAACACAGAGAGACACACAGAGACACACAGAGAGACACAGAGACACACACAGAGACACACAGAGAGACACAGAGAGACACACACACAGAGACACACAGAGAGACACACAGAGACACACACACACACAGACACACCACACAGAGAAACAGAGAGACACACACAGACACAGAGACACAGAGAGACACACAGAGAAACACACACAGAACACAGAGAGACACACACAGAGAAACACACACAGAGACACACACACACAGACAAAGAGAGACACACAGAGACACAGAGACCCACACAGAAGACACACAGACACACAGAGACACACACAGGCACAGAGAGATACACGGACACACACAGACACACACAGACACACAGAGAGACACACAGAGACACACAGACACACACAGAGACACAGAGACACAGAGAGACACAC